CCTGCTGAAAAAGAGGCATTAACGCAGTAATGATGCAAATCAAAATTAGCGGCTTGTAATCTGAGAATGTTTATTTACAGCAATACTAATTTTTCTTTTCCTCATCTCTTTCAGCCGAACAAACGTGTTCACCTTGGAGCTACAAATATTGGTGATTTGAGATTTGAGCTCATCCCCCACTGTTCCTGCGCAAGTCAGGACCAGAAAAATGAGTGTCCAGGGGAAAGGCTTCCCCTTGGACCTTGGAGGAAGCTTCACTGAAGATGCTCCGAGGCCACCAGTTCCTGGTGAGGAGGGGGAACTCGTGTCCACGGATCCAAGGCCGGTTAGCCACAGTTTCTACTCCAGTAAAAGCGACGTCATTAGGAATGAGACATCCACAGCAACACCGAGGCGCTCTGATTTGGATTTGGGGTACGAGCCTGAGGGGAGTGCTTCACCAACTCCACCCTACCTGAAGTGGGCCGAGTCGCTGCACTCCTTGCTCGATGATCAAGATGGTATCAACCTCTTCAGGACTTTCCTGAAACAGGAGGACTGCGCGGATCTGCTGGACTTCTGGTTTGCCTGCAGCGGCTTCAGGAAGCTGGAGCCGTGCGTGTCTAACGAGGAAAAAAGACTCAAGCTGGCAAAAGCCATTTACAAAAAATATATCCTCGACAACAACGGCATTGTGTCCCGGCAGATCAAACCGGCCACAAAAAGCTTCATCAAAGACTGTGTCATGAAACTGCAGATTGACCCTGACATGTTTGACCAGGCCCAAACGGAGATTCAGTGCATGATAGAAGACAATACCTACCCTTTGTTCCTTAAGTCGGATATTTATTTGGAATACACGAGGACAGGTGGGGAAAGTCCAAAAATTTATAGCGATCCGAGCTCGGGGTCGGGGACAGGTAAAGGGCTGCCCGGTTATCTGCCGACTCTGAACGAGGACGAGGAGTGGAAGTGTGACCAAGAGGCCGAGCCCGAGGCCAGCAGGGACTCGGCCCCTTCCAGCAGACTCACACCGAA